GAGCAGAGACGATATGCAGCTTATCTGCCTCTACCCAAGTAGCTTGCTTCCCACCGCCTAAATTATAGTACTGGAATGTACTCTTCAGCGTTTAAAAAGACAACAACCAGGAACATTATTTGCTTACTTGCAGACCAAGCGCTTTTTTCTGGATGTGGAGATTCCCTTATTTTGTTTTGTTTTAATCTTAATGGGAAAGAAGACATGGGGTGGAGAATCACAGGTCATATTATATGGACAATCTATGTTCTCTAAGTGCCCAATTATGAGTTTTACATTCTCTTTAAGGAATGAGTGTTCAAACTACTAGGGGCACATTTGAAGTAACACAGATGCAGTGCTTAGAAACTGCACAGCAGTAAAGATCTCCTTTTATGTTGTGGGTGTTCTCATAACCAGTGAATGGAAACCGGAGCCCCCCAAAAGCACAACTCATCCTAGAAACTCATTAATCACATCGTAAATAAGTGCTCAAGCAAAGAAAATGCATGCAGTTCAGTCCTGAGGATTAAAATTCCACAGATTTTTTCCCCTCCAGGAGAAGTGTTCAATGGGGTTTGAATTCAGTCATGATAGGATGGTCTTAAGGCACATCAAGAAAAGTATGTGTTTCGAAGGCTACTGCAATAGTAGTTTTCAATTTTGTTTTCTTCAATTTTGTTTTCATCAATAGAGAAACAATAGATTGTCTGAGGGTGGTTGGAGGATGGATGGCACTTAATGGATTGAGGTTGAATCCTAACAAGACAGAAGCACTGTTCTGGGGGGACAGGGGACGGGCAGGCATGGGGAACTCCCTGGTCCTGAATGGGGTAACTGTGTGCCTGAAGGACCAGGTGTGCAGCCAGGGAGTCGTTTTGGACTCACAGCTGTCCATGGAGGCGCAGGTCAGTTCTGTGTCCAGGGCAGCTGTCTACCAGCTCCATCTGGTATGTCGGCTGAGACCCTACCTGCCCGCGGACTGTCTCGTCAGAGTGGTGTATGATTTGGTTATCTCTCGCTTGGATTACTGCATTGCGCTCTTGTGGGCCTACCTTTGAAGGTGACTCAGAAACTACAACTAATGCAGAATGCAGCAGCTAGACTGGTGACTGGGAACGGCTGCCAGGACCATATAACACTGGTCCTAAAGGATCTTCACTGGCTCCTAGTACATTTCCAAGCACAATTCAAAGTGTTGGTGCTGACCTTTAAAGCCCTAAATGGCCTTGACCCAGTATACCTAAAGGAGCATCTCCACCCCCATCATTCAGCCAGGACACTGAGGTCCTCCTCTGAGGGTCTTCTGGTGGTTCCCTCATTGTGAGAAGTGAAGTTACAGGGAACAAGACAGAGGGCCTTCTTGGCGGTGGCGCCCTCCCTGTAGAATGTCCTCCTTTCAGATGTCAAGGAAATAAACAACTATCTGACTTTTAGAAGACATCTGAAAGCAGCACTGTATCAGGAAGTTTTTAATGCTTGATATTTTACTATGTTCTCATATTCCGCTGGAATCTGCCCCAAGTGGATGGGGCAACCCAGCCAGATGGGTGGGGTATAAATGTTGTTGTTGTTGTTGTTGTTGTTGTTGTTGTTGTATGAATGAACCAGAATATACTTTCTCCCATGGGTGGAGTGATTTCCTAACTTGGGTATAAATTTAACCCTTGCATTCTTCCAGTTTAGCCAAATCATTTGTTTCCCTGAAGAAAGTGAGCAGCCATATTGAGATTTTTATCAAAAAGGCTCGATAGTCAACACTTCGAAACAGGGGTGGGCAGAACAGAGTTAGAATTCAAACAATAGTTTGCTTCTGAGCATGTTTTGAGCCTAGGATTTCTCTTCTGTCACTACCAGAACTAAACGAAAGTCCACTCCTGTTTAGCTTTACTCATTTTTAATGCACCATTGGGAGGGTCCTAATTCCACTTAGTGACAGAAGCATGCAGCTATATTGAGGCAGCACCAGGTGCTGATATTTTGCACCCCCTTGCAATTTTGCACTCGGGGCAACCACTCCTGTGGCCTCCCCCCAATGCTATACCACTGACATGGCGGCACTTCCTGTTTCTCCTTAAGCAGCGAAACGGCATGCACCAACCCCATCTAAAGGATGTCTGGTTCCAAGGTGAAGTGAGTAGCTGGTAGTTGCAAAGATGACAACTGTAGGCAGGAGTACCAGGTGTGTGTGTGTGAGAGAGAGGGGTGTCAGGTCTGAGTTGGCACCAGGCTGGAGGGAAGCCTTGAGCGTCACCATGCCCAGGTCTTACTGAAGTTCAGTGTTTACCTTGGCAGGTGGTAAGCTTCTGCATCTAAGGATGAGGGACGTGCCAATAGAAAAAAGGTCACGAGAGAGAGTGGGGCGGGGGGGGAAGATTTTTTTTCATGTGGGTATATAGGAAACATGAAAGTTACCTGGACAGCAGTTGCCCAGTGAAAATGCCTGGCTGCGTAATCTTATTAATTCTCGCTCTGGTTTACCTCAACACCTTTGAGTACTCATTATCGCCCTTGTATTATCAGCCATTGCATTCAGAGCTGTGGTTTTCTACATGGGAGCTAAACTTCCGCCTTTGTCCTAGAAAGCTTTCTGAGAACATTGGAAATTGTGTATGTATATGTGTGCCGTTAGTAACACAATATTCTAAATGCTCTAACAATAATCAGATGGAAGTGGCTGGTTAACTTCATTATCATAACACGATTATGGTAATGTGTTTCAGAAGCTATTCTAAATCATTTGATGCTAAGTACTTATAAACGGGAATAAAGATGTCTCCTTGATGGTTTTTGTGTGTGTGTGTGTGTGTTTTTAAAGGAATGAACCAGGTGGTTCCTATTACAGGACCCACTAAATCCTTTGATCCAGAATTCTGACATGAACTTCTTTTGAAGTTTTTAATGAGTTTGGTTAATTCCTCCTGCCCCTCCAACCATCTAGCACACCTCTGTGCTTTGGCGAGCATATACAAAAATAATGCAAGAAGGAGCCTTCAGAGGCTAGTTTCTCAGGAGCAGGAACCAGGGATGTCTAATGATGAGCTGGTCTGCCTTTTACAGCACAGTGTAAATGCCAATGCCCATTTAGTCAGTTTTTTTATATATATATCAACTTTCGACTAAAACATTCTCACCATGATTTCCAAGAAACATCATGAAACACAATAAAACAGCAATAAGGAAAACAGGACCAGTTGACTGCAGTGCTTATAAAAAAGAGCAGAAATAAAATGAAAATACACCAGAGGTCAAATGCCTGGGACTTAAGAAAAGGACTTTACGCAGTACCTAAAAGGGCAGATGTGCTTGGGAGTGTCTTAAACTGCACATTGCGATGGGTATCAATAATTCTGAAAGAGGGTCTTCCAGCTCACAAATTTTAGTCCACTGTTGCTGCATAACACCCATTATCTATCACAGTCACTGCATCTATGGCTGTCTGCACATTGTGCCTTTAAAGCACATCCCACCCTACAAAAAAAGAATCCTAGGAACTGTAGTTTGTTAAGGGCACGGGGAACTGTATCAATGTGAGAGATAAACTATGGTTTCCAGGATTCCTCGTTGGAGGGGTGTGTGTGCTTTAAATGCACGGCAGGCTCGCAGCCTATGAGACAATCTCCGCATCCCTTTTGTCACTTCGTGAGAGGGATGAGCAGGGGTGCTACTGGGTACTTAAATAACAGGGGATATAGGCCCATGACACAAATCTGCATAGATGTTAAAGAGTGCCTAGGGGCACATTTGAGCTAGAATGTGGGTGCTGGCATTACACTTTGCAACACATTCAGCGACTCTGCAAGCACATCTCTGTAAGTTAGTGGTTTTCAACCAGTGTGCCGTGGCACCCTGGGGTGCCTTGAACGATGCTTGGGGTGCCGCGGGCAATACTGGCCTCTGTCCCTCTTTCCTTCTCTCCCTTCCTCCTCTGATGCCCTCTTGCATCTCTGCCTCCCAAAGGCTTGCATGGCTGTTTGTTGCAGCGATCCTAGCTACAAGCTCCCCAGGTGAATGGTGCCTCTGGGGCTGGCCAGGGGGTGCTGGTTGCCAGGAGCTGAGGCAGCCTCAGAGTAAGCAAGGGAGCGGGCAAGGAAGCCCAGTCTGTCAGCCCTTGCTGTTGGGAATGGACAGATAACCCCAGGCCCCAGTGGGGCAGTGTGAGAAGGCACCTCTCTTTGGGGCAGGGAGAGTAGTTCAGAGACCAGGGATGGCAGTAGCAGCTGCCCAGAGGACTCCCAAGGAGAGGGGAGAGGAGGCTGAGGTAACACTCCACAATGGAGGGTGTCCGAAAAAGGGTGAAAGGCTGCCAGCTCTGCAGGCAAAGGGTGATGTAACTGGGCTCCTGAGCCCCACAAGGGAGCTGCAGAAAGAAGGTAGTTGGTCAAGGGAGCCGTGGACTCAAAAAGGTGGAAGACCTCTGCTGTAAGTAATCTCTGCTTAAGAGACGTTTGAGAAATTCAAGCCTTGGGAATCCCAGTAAAAACTGACATGATCCACACCTTCTCGACTAATGCACAGGTTGGATCCACTGGCTTTCCCGCCTCCTGGGTGTTCCAACACAGTTCTTGGCTTGGAAAACACATCCAAATATTGTAAGTGCAAGTTTTCATGAGTTATTTTTTTTGAAAATAATAATAATAACTGCATTAAAATGAGGAAACAGGAGAGAACAGGGTCTCATGAGCTAACACATGTGAAAGTGACAAGAACCTGAAATAGACTATGCCGCACTTTGACTTGGTCACAACTTCTACTTCCATCAAAATTCCATGGCAGCTCACTTGTGACACCTTGGCTTCCCATCATCATGTCTGCTTTGACTCTCAGAAGATGTGCTGAGAAATAGCTCCAAAAATTGCACGAGATAAGTCACATGATGTGTGTTGACATCTCTGCCCCTTGGCATGCATCTGGGAAACTCTGAGCTTGCCAGGTCTTTAGCAATGGCTGAGTGGAGACATGCCCAAGGGTGGCACAGATCTCAAGGAGCTTGAAGGGGATCTGCGATGATTCGTGTTAAAGAATAGCTCAGTTGATTAGAGTGTGGTGCTGATAACGCCAAGGTTGCAGGTTCAATCCCCATAAGGGACAGCTGCATATTCCTCCATTGTAGAGGGTTGGACTAGATGGTCCACAGGATACCTTTCAACTATACAATTCTATGATTCAAGAATGCTTCAAGAGAATACTATATGTGGTTCATCAAAACAGATCCTTCTTCAGATTTAGGGTGCTTCCAGATGGTCATTTCTTGTGGGATGAATGTTCCTCATGCATGAAGATTTTTTTTCACAGCATCTACACTACATTGTTGGCATCAAAAGCATGTATTCTCACCCCGCCCTCTCCCAGATTTACCTTTTCTGGGGGAAATTTGACAGACAGACAGACAGACAGACAGACAGACAGACAAGCAAACACCCTGTGGCCAGCAGCCCATTTGTCATATCTGTTTACAACCAGTTTACTATATTAAGCCCCTGTCTAGAAGTTATGCAGAAATTACGCAGTTGAGTTTCCAGCATTTGGGGAAGTCACAGTTGTCAGCTCATCCAGAATGCAGTAAGTGAGCCTCATCTTGGAAAAACCATGTGATCGTGATCTTACATCAAGTGGACAGGGCATGGCTGCCACAGAAGCCTCTGAGGAAAGTTAGGGCACAGAACATTTGTGGGTGTTGCATTTCAGGAGCGTTGAAGCTGGGTTACTGGACTACAGCTCCCATCATCCCTGACCATTGGCGGTGCTTGCTGGTGCTGATGGACGTTGAATTTCAACAACTTCTGAAGGTGATTGACTACATGGAATTGGCGGAAATGACTGGCAGAATCCGAGACCAGGGAGAAGAGTCGGTGAAAGAAGAATGGAAGAAATTTAAGGACTATTTACAGAAATATTGCAAAATTAAGGAACTTTAGAAGGATGTTGGATAGAAACTAAGAGGTTTTTGGCTGTAATGCTTTAAGAGACATGGAAAAAGGTTAACAATTGGGTAAAAGACTAATGGTAAGGATTTGCTGAACCAACAAATTGAATTGGAATACAAAGAAGGGAGGTATGAGGAGGTCCAGGGAAATAAGAGTAAGGAAGATAGGTTATGGAATATTATTGTGTTCTTAACTGTTTTATTTTGTAAGCTTTTTTAAAATTATTTTCTACTTTTTTGTTGTATCTTAAAACTTTATACTTTTTTCTATGTTTTGTATTTTTATGTATTTTTGTGAAACTTTAATAAATATCATTATAAAAAAAAAAATTGAAGGGCCGGCAGTTCCCCATCCCTGCTGTATATTTAGGAGGTTCAAGTCACACACCATAACACAATGCATGAGGGGGGGTGTTTAAGTGCTTTGCCAGTTGCAGGGTGAGTTGGGTGGTGCTGAGCATTGCCTGCTTGTCCTCAGTGAAATAGGTGTTTCTGCTGTTTGGGATAGTTTCTTAGATTTCCAGATTTCTTAGATTTCTAGATTTTCCAAAACTATCAAGGACTCCTGCTCCTACTCTTTGTTCAGTATGGTGTAGAAAAGGAAGACGGTCAGTAGCTCATTTCCTCACTTCGGTGCTTCCTTTCCCCCCAAATGCTGAAGTGATACATTTTGATGACATTTAAATAGTGCCATTTTGATTAAAATGTCATGTAATTGGATGTCTTTGGAGATTCATCTCAATATCCCTTGTCCTCAGGGTGGAAGGGGTTCCGCTGACTCCCTAAGAATGCGGCTGCATTACTGAATAGGGCAGAAGAGCTTTAAAAAAGGGAAAGAAAGCTCACTCCTACATTTAATGCGCCTAATAACTCATCGCACAAGATGCCAAGCACAATTACCATTATATCAATTGTTTCCATTTCAGCCTCAGCAGTTCTCCCAGAATCAGTGGCACGAGTCATGTAAAATTAAGTTGGGGCTCATCTGGTTTCACAGGATGGAGATGGCAGTGAGTTCAGACCTCGGCAAATGTCACCCACAATCAATGGAATATGGGACACTGTAGGCTTGGGGAGCGGGTGCTTTATTATACCTGAGGGCTGCATTCCTTTCGGAGCAGGCCTGTGGCCAGAGGTGGGTACTGGGATGTACGGGGGCAAGGGCACCCTATGCCAAACCAGGGGAGCAGAAGTGCCACTGCAGGGGCACCCCACCTGACATACCTCAGCTGCTCCTCAAGTGTCAATAAACAAGGACTCCAACCTGCTGTGGGAAACCCTGTGGAAGGTGACAAGGAAGGAGCTTACAGGCAATGTTTGAAGGCCGTTCATCATAGTTCCATTCTTCAAAAGAGGGACAGCCCCTCTTCACTTCATTTGATCTCCTATACTGATTTTACCAGGTCGATTGCACAATGAAGTCTCTAGAGTTAGGATGGTGCATCTCCTCCTGCGCATTTGCCATCAGCAGAGGAGCTTGGCCTCTGTGAGCTCATGCCCCAATAAAAGGTAAAGGGAACCCTGACCATTAGGTCCAGTCGCAGACGACTCTGGGGTTGCGGCACTCATCTTGCTTTATTGGCCAAGGCAGCCGGCGTACAGCTTCTGGGTCATGTGGCCAGCATGACTAAGCCGCTTCTGGTGAACCAGAGCAGTGCACGGAAACAGCGTTTACCTTCCCGCCGGAGTGGTACCTATTTATCTACCTGCACTTTGACATGCTTTCGAACTGCTAGGTTGGCAGGAGCAGGGACTGAGCAACGGGAGCTCACCCCATTGTGGGGATTTGAACCACTGACCTTCTGATCGCCAAGCCCTAGGCTCTGTGGTTTAACCCACAGCGCCACCCGCGTCCCAATAGCTTCCTCTATAGATTGCTGCCATGTGCTCTACCAGGTGCCCAGGGAGAGTATGTGCCAGGTAGAGTTCAGGGCACTCTGAGTAGAGTTGTTAGGTCTTGAGGAGCTAGGACCAGGTGGTGTGAGTCCAGGAGTTCAAACTCACCAGTCCAAGGCAAGGCAAACTGCTGAGCAGGACCCTGGAGAGCTCCCCTCGTGGCCAGAGCTGGTGAGAACTGTTTGAGAGGGAGTAGTTTGCTCCTGCAGCATGCTAGGCTCCTAAGGAAGGGGTGGGGAGTTTGAACTGACTGATGAACTAAATTTGGTGGGTGGGGCTACCTGCATGTCAATCACCGGACACTACAATGCTGCCAGGTGACTATTATTGGGATTTGAAGCCAACATACCAGACTTGCTCTGTGCTTTGAAGTGCCACTGGTCACCAGGCTTGAAGTCACTGCCCATTAGCTGGTGGATGAAGACTTCAAGCCAATTTCCTATAGGGTTTCCCCCATATTTCTCCCCCCCCGATGAACTCAGTTGTGCAGCTGATCCAGCCATTGATCCAGCCATTGTTCTGCTGCACATCTGACATCATATCTGACATCAGCTGGGCACGGTTTGGGCAAAATGTCCCGGTGGGCCAGATTAGGAACTATGCCAGGCAAAATTTGGCACATGGTCTGGAAGTTCCTCGCTCCTGTTCTAAGGCCTTATGAAGTCCACCTTGTCTGACAGCTCCTTGCGAAGGCCAGAAGCAGCAACAAGGTATAAGAAAAAGGAGAAATACTCAGATTCTACAGAGGTTGAATTATATGCCAGCTATGAACTTGTGTGGTATTTGTACTGAACTGTGGAATAAGAATATCTAGGTATGATCTAACCCAGCAGAAAGGCTGGAATGTAACAAGTTGATGTCGGTGCCGCTTCAGAATGAACAATTCCAGCGAGTTAAATTTAACATGAAAACTTGCTTTCTTTTAAAATCTAAGTATAGAGAGTAGAGCAAATACCATGGCAAAAGTAAATACCTCAGTGCAGTAAACGTTAATGACACACTGTACATAGGCTGACAGTATTTTCCACTTTTCATATACCACAGTTCCATGGAAAATTATTACAGAAACTTATTCATGGGTTTTTTAAATAAATAAAAAATCACAGTGTTTCCAAAAACACACCATGACAGAATCATAGCTTTAGTTGGGATCCTTTTACAGGAGCACCACATAATCTATTCATTTAAGCATAAACTGCAAAATTTTTAGCAGGGGCGATTAGAATAAGATCTGTTATTTGATTGACTTTCTAATATTTCTCAGCTTTATTTTTTAATCAAAATAAAGCCTATTGGTTCACATGTTTTATCTGTGGCTAAAGGATCATGTATCAGTTCTGTCATTTGTATTGATGCAAACTTCCGGAACGTATTTTGTATACCTAACTATTTAGCTCTATCCCCAGTATATTTAATCTTATTGCTATGGCTTGTGGCTAATGCAAACTATCTATCTTTCCATCTATCTAATTTAAGCACACCAAATTTTGCTTGCAGCAGCAAGGTAGGCGGCAACTCCTTGTTTTACACCAGACACATGAGTAGGGGGTACGATCAGCTGGACACCCACCACAGATTCACATTCCTGCCTGCTTTTTGCTCAAGGCATGTGCTTTCAAACAACTGATACAGTCAACACACACAACTCATGGTATTTCCTGCCATCACAATTCTGTGAGATCCAGTATGAACAATGCCGGATATGACTGGACTGCAGTTTGTATCCCTTTGATATTGGAAACTCCCAAAATATAGTGATTTGTGCTTGTTAATGATCCAACATTTATTCTGCAATAATAATAATAATACCCAGTAATGTCTTTTTTCAACAGGTTCTCTGTAACCATCAACTTTTTCACATCCATAATGCAAATATGTCTGTGGGGTTTTGTTTTTCTATTTTTCCCCCTTTCTAAAATATGAGCAGAAAATAATGGAAACATTTCTACATATTTGGCTGTATAAAATGGTTCTTGTAGCAGAATCAGTGAGCTTTTATTGAACTGTTTCTCCTCAACTAGCACAGGGCTCTGGTACAATCAAAGAGCAGTGAGGGACCCCGCCCCCCATAAGGCCTAATATGGCAAATACTTGTGAGACACCACTATCCCACTTCAGAGGTGAGAGGAGCATGGCATTCAGCAGATTATGACAATCCACCCCATCTAAACAACATTGCCGCTTATAATAATTGCGTGTGGCACTCCTTGACATACAGATGACATCTCTTGTTGAAAGGTGGAAGATGTCTTTGGGATACTGTCACACA